AAAAAAAAAAAAAAAAAAGATATAGTTATATGGTTAAGTTCAATGGCAAAAGGTTGAGATTTAGGATTACAAGTGGCCTGTTACAGGTTCTTGGTCTGTCAGGCCGAGAAGAAGGGAATCAAGGATCAAGGCAAGCAAAAGAACAAGGGGTATTTGGAGGTTCAAATGCATGTAACTTTAAGTCTGGGGTAAACATGTTTTCTACTTCTTTGAAAAAAAATATATTGCCAGGAAAAGTCTTTGAAACCCAGGACCTGTTGATAGATTTAGTACATAAGGGAATGAAAGACTGGGACAGCAATTGGAATCTTCCCCATACAAAGGGGCATTATTAAACGCCTAATGCCTTCGCTCAACAAAGGACTTAAATCCACCAAAGAACTTTCAATTGCCTTTTCTCATGATTATTGCTTTTAGTTTTGTCTCTTCGTTGTTATTAACATGCTATTTAAGAGCTACATGTACATGTATGTTGCATACATATTCTAGTCTGGTGACGGTATACACGATGTGGTTCTTAACAAAATATCATTCAATAACTGTTAGTTTTGTCCTTTATTGTGTGAATACTTGGACACAATAAAGATTTTCGGCTTCTCTTCCATTCTCAAAAGTAAATTAGACAATCAAATGCAAATTCTATTGCAAGATCAATATGTGAGCAGCTTGCACTAGTTGTTTTCCATAGACTAAGTAAGGAAACACAATAAGCATAAACTTTCTAAATGTAAGTAAGAGACAATTTACCTGGAGGAGGCATGCCAGGTGGAACAGGAGGCATTGGCGGGCCAGATGGAGGCATATTAGGCACACTGGGCATTGAGCTTGGTACAGGCACAGCCATGACGGCAGGCGGCATGACTGCAGCAGCTGGTGCTAGTGTTGTAGCTGCAGCAGGAGCTGGTGGTGCATCTGCAAACAGCTGATGAGGTCTGTCTGCTTGGGCGAGAGGATTTTGTGCGGCCAAGAGACGCTCTGTAAAGAGAAAATGCTTGAGATCACATTGAATGCACTCTGGAAAATATGTCTTAAATAATTTTTAAAGTGCAATGATCAAAGTGAAATACAGTGCATTTTGAAGATTGCCCTGTAACCCTGTAAGCAATTTTTCCATTGTCAACATAGCCTAAGGTTAGTATTCATACTGAACATGTGTGTATATAATACTTTTGACCAACCTGCCTAGATAGAACTTTAAGAAACCCACTTACTGTACATGTAGCTACAATGTATTGGCAAGTGAGTCCCAGATACTCATAATGTATTTACCATAAGTTAAGTCTTGTAGTTTTGCAGATGTTGTTACATGTATTGTTGCTGTTGTCAAGTGCAAGATAAGACTAGATGATCCCACTAGCTAGACAAACTACTGATACTGATTCTTAGCTACTTGTGCGATGTAACTGAGTGTATTACACATCACTAAATGTCAATTATGCATTAATGTTCAATGCTCCCTCTTAGCAGAGCAATTGCCAAATACATGCAATTCCCAGATGAAAGACATGTGCACTGTACACAAAGGTGCTTTTATTAATATCCATACACACATACCTGCTGCAGAGCCATGTCTTTCACCTTTAGCTTCTTTCTTGAATGCATAGGAGATTGTAATTGGTCGATTACACAAGTATTGCCCATTCATAGCTTCCATAGCTGCATCAGAGGCATCAAAACTTGCAAAGTTGATGAATGCAAAACCTTTGGAGTTGCCTGTCTCGGGATCTCGCATAATCTGCAAGGAATGCACTTGTGAGAATTTACACACTATCTCAGATCAAAGACAGTATGGTTGGAACCATCATTATCAAAGAAAGAAAAATTGAAATTAAAGTTCTTTCAGTAATTCATATCCATGTATTTAAGTACACATGCAATTATTTATCCATGTATTTTCTGTGGGAGTGGGGAGAGCTTACTTACTTTAGGGGTTTGGAGAATAACACCAAAAGCACTAAATGTGTCGTAGAGCAGCTTTTCATCAATCTCTGGATCAAGATTTCCAATGAAAATGTTTGCACCAACATCAAGATTCTTATTGTGTGCTGATGCCTGAGAAAGAACACAGAGTGTAGAGTTAGAACCCATAGCCATGTATGCATGTACATTTGTGTACTACAATGTTTATACATTAACCTTGCAACAAAAATAATATCCTTAACTTACATGTCTATGAGACAAATTGAAGTTTATTTTTTTTATTTCATAACAATAATTTGCGTCATATAAGAAATAGAAGACATTAAATGTGTTTCTATTGAGTTATAGAAGCATGACTGGAAGTTTGGGAGAACAAGAAATGCTGTGGGAACATGGGCTGAAAGGCAAGTGTTTACACAGCTTTCTTGAGTTCTCGCGAACTTTCACTAGTGTTTCCATTAAACAATTAGATTATGAGTTGGAGATTTCTATCATGTGATAGTTGACACCAGTGCAGCCCAAGTCAACTATCTTGCATACAAATCAAATAATCTAATTGTTTCAGTGTAAATCTACTAGTCAGTCAAAACTTATATTTAAATCCTCTTCAGACACCTCAAAAATATAAAGAAGAGGCCGTCATTTTGTTAACAACTGCGCACTGCTACGCTACTCACTATCTTTTCTGTTGTAGATAGTGCGTGCATGCTAGCCAATCAGAGAATGCCATTTGTGATAGAATGCTAGTAGATTTATACTAAAACTCGATAGAAACATGGAGAACATGTTTTCTGTTTATTTTAGAAAATTCTGCAATGAGAAAAGAAAACAACTTGTTTACTTCAATCATCAAAATCTGAATTCTCTTCATTGATGCATCATTGCATCAATAACTGCCTAGTTATAGAAACATGTTTTTTAACCTATCACCACGCATATTTTCTTTGACCTATTTTCTAACACTTACATACACATATTTCTACATGTGTTGTACACTGTAAAGTACAGCAAAAAGTTTTCATTCATTATTTGCAATTCTTATTCCAGCTATACTGAGTCATACATGTACATTATCAATATTATCAATCGATGGTTTTTGTAAAAATTATTCTTGGTGTAAAACTTTTTTAAAAGTTTGTACATGTATCTTGTTTCATAGTAATTTTCCTTTGTCACACATTCATCAACTAGTCTCCAACAATTGAAAATCCAACTGGCTAATTGTACATGTAATGGGAGATTTTCTACAGTTGTAGCTCCACAAAACACTGACCACAATGAAAACTGAGCAGAGAGTTTACAGATACAGTAAAAGCATAAAAGAAACTTGATTTCATCATTGCAAATAAAAGCCAATTCTTGCTTATTCAAGATTTCTGTGGCTATGTTATATTAGAATTAGCTCATCATTTTACAGTATAGAGTACATACAGCTGTGCATGTATCGAGTTATGGATGCACTACTCCAAAGAAGTTTTGAAGAGCACTTGAGAAACTACATAGAGAGCTGCTCTCAGCTACATGTATGTCTGGAGTAATTTGTACGCTTCTTGTGCTAGATACATCCATAAA